ACATGTTTAGGCCGTCAATACTTTGGAGATCCCATTGACTGCATATCAAAGGACGACATCCCGAGCAAACTTCTCGGTCAGTTTCGTATAACACTTAGAATTTTAATTAATTTACTTAATAATAATAATACTAATACTAATAATGCTAATCTTATCAATTATTGGCAGTTATTGCTATTGCATATTAGAAGGTATGAAAAACTTATACAATATCCTAACATTACTATACACTATAATCTGTATACAGTGTACACTAATACAGGTTTTATTACATAAGTTTGTGAAAGAAATAATTTTGTTTTGATTGCAAACATGGGTTAAAAGTTGTTGTACTTAAGATATGTTTCACATGAATTGTAGACCAAAACTACACCTTTTAACACATCAATACACTTAACATTGAATTGTTGTGTATATAATATTTTTAATGATTAAAGCAAAAGTGAAATCTAATTTCTCCAATGCTTTACCAAAGACTTGATTAAAATATAAAATTGCAAACAATTTGTTAAAAGTATCTCATTTATACCGATAGACACGTACTGTTGGATTCACACGACGTTTAGTATAGAAAATGCATGGAAGAAGAGAGTGGGCGATGAAGTGCCGTATCCCGGGGTCGACAAGACTACCCCTAACGAGAAGAGAGTATATCACGCGTACTACCAATGGGTGTGTTTTGTGCTCTTCTTTCAGGCGCTGCTCTTCTATATTCCTCGATATTTCTGGAAAGCGATGGAAGGCGGAAGACTCAAGAACCTCATCCTTGGCCTCAACTCTCCGGTCTGTAATGAAGAGACCCGTAATAATAATAGAGCGCTTTTAGTTGAATATCTTTATAAAAACATTAATAATCACAACACATTGTTTATAATGTATACCATTTCTGAAGTGCTAAATCTTCTCAATGTTATCCTCCAAATGATTATTATGGACCGCTTCTTAGGCGGAGAGTTCACTAACTATGGCTGGGATGTCATCAACTTCTCAGAGTGGGACTGGTCTGTCAGATACGACCCAATGGTTTGTCATATAATTTTAATATTAATATTAGTATTACTATTAATGAATGTATTGATTAGATTAAAGTGTTTCCACGTCTAACCAAATGTACTTTCCATCGATACGGGT